AGAAAAGACTTGTATCGCTTAAGTTTCTCGGGAAGAATTTTTTACGGGAAATTATCAAACGAACAGAGATGTAACAGTACAATATGCCCACATATCAGAAACAGCAAGTGTTGATAAAGGGCTAGAGGTCGTCCCATTTTCATACCATAAGCCACAGAAAGGAAACTGACCAAAATATTTTCTAACTGGACAGTAAGGAAATAAATAAAGATTTTTCTTAAATAAAAATGGTTTCACACAATCAATTATTGTAATGTATACATTTACGAATACTAGTGTTTTATTGTTAATAACAGAAGCTTGAACTTAACGTATCATTGATTTTTTTTTTGTGTGTGTAATATGTTTGTTCAAAAACATCACAATTCAGGGAGAGTGACAGTGTTATAGGCTATGTTTATAATTTACCATATTAGTTAACGTGAAAGTGAAATAATTGTGTTAACTTCAACTGTGAAATTATGATTATCATTGAAAATCAGTAAAGCTAACTTAATTAAAGAAGGTGAAATTAATTAAATGCTTTTGTTGGCGGACAGGACTTTGTATTATTACGACAGCGGTACTCACGTGACTCTGGTAACACATCATGATATTCTCGAAGGATCGGGGAACATCACGAAAAATCCAGTATGTGCTAGGCGCCCTCTATTCCTGTATATAAGTGCACCGGTTAACGTGAGACTATTCAATCGGAATTGAATAGCAGACAGGGAGACAGAGACAGATAATCGAGTCGAGCCGAAAGTAACGTGTGTAAATCGTTGTGAATTATAGTGTGTGTTTAAGTTAAAGTGACTGTGGAAATTAAGTGTATTGCAAAGTTGTATTGAGAAAGAATAAACTAGTTTTATTTAAGAAAGGACTTGTATCGCAGAAGTTTCATCGCAAAGAAATTATATGGGAAATTAACAAACGACGAGAGACGTAACAGTATCCAACAACAGAAATCATTACAATAACTGAATATCATTCAGTTTTAGCATCGCAAGTATTTCTAATTCCTGGCCATTTTGTACACAATCTCATAACATAGAGGCCCCCCAGTGGCACAGTGGTATATCTGCAGACTTACAATTCTAGAAACCAGGTTTCGATACCCGTGATGGGCAGAGCACAGATAGCCCATTGTGTAGCTTTGTGCATAATTACAAACAAACATAACATAGAGATAAGTCTACGTAAAATTACGATTACAAAACTAACCCGCTGAAGTTGTATATAAATTATAGATGAAGAATGATGTATACTTTGAAGAATTGCCAAGAAACTGAACAACAACGATAAGATATCACGATTTTCATTATGACATATCTTTATTCATTCAGAAAAGTACAAATACATGCCAGCATGTAAAATAAGAACTCATTTGTAATATCTTAGAAATATCTAGATTAACTGTTGTTAAGCTGCCATTGAAATTTGAAGGCTTCACCAAGTGTTTCATACACTTTATTTCCTTCCACTTTCCTAATATGGTTGATAACAGCTTATAATAGTCTAGGCTAATAACAGTCAGTTAAACATTGAATTATAAAATAAATGACAATGTTTCAGGCCAGACTAGTATAATATAATCAATATTAACACAAGTGACAATACTGTCTAGCCCTAATGCATACTTCAGATTACTAGATGAGACCTCGGTAACAGTGTAGGTTTCTTTTTTACTGTGTTGTTTTTGATTTTGCTAACAGGATAAATTGGTTATGGAACGAGTTACCATTAGCGAGAGTCGATTGAGGCCTGTACTTTACAAGAGTTAAAGAGGAATCAATGATTTCTTGAAAAATTCCCAGTTGCACCTGAAGAAAAAAAGGTCCACCTTTCAAAAGCGCTCGGGTTATAGGTTTTTTTTATTCATTTCTATCAAAACTTCTTGAACCTACGTGTTTTTCTAACATCATGAATTGAAAAATAAAGGATGGACTTAATTTTTTACTTTTCCTCAAGGGTGGATATACAGGGACAGCCTTGAAAAACTAAGTGATTCCTTGTCATCCATATGTTATGTAACTACATGCTACTACAACACAGTGGTGTTATGGAACTACTACAACACTAACAACATAGTGGTATTATGGAACTACTACAACATTAACAACACAGTGGTGTTATGGAACAACATTAACAACACAGTGGTGTTATGGAACTATTACAACATTAACAACACAGTGGTATTATGGAACTACTACAACACTAACAACACAGTGGTGTTCTGGAACTTGTACAACACTAACAACACAGTGGTGTTATGGAACTACTACAACATTAACAACACAGTGGTGTTATGGAACTACTACAGCATTAACAACACAGTGGTGTTATGGAACAACATTAACAACACAGTGGTGTTATGGAACTACTACAACATTAACAACAGAGTGGTGTTATGGAAATACTACAACACTAACAACACAGTGGTGTTATGGAAATACTACAACACTAACAACACAGTGGTGTTATGAAACTTCCACAACATTAACAACAGAGTGGTGTTATGGAACTACTACAGCATTAACAACAGAGTGGTATTATGGAACTACTACAACACAGTAGTGTTATGGAACTTGTACAACACAGTGGTGTTATGGAACTTGTACAACACTAACAACACAGTGGTGTTATGGAACTTCTACAACATTAGCAATAGAGTGGTGTTATGGAAATACTACAACATTAACAACACGGTGGTGTTATGAAACTTCCACAACATTAACAACACAGTGGTGTTATGGAACTACTACAACATTAACAACACAGTGGTATTATGGAACTACTACAACACTAACAACACAGTGGTGTTCTGGAACTTGTACAACACTAACAACACAGTGGTGTTATGGAACTTCTACAACATTAACAACAGAGTGGTGTTATGGAAATACTACAACACTAACAACACAGTGGTGTTATGTAACAACATTAATAAGACTCATGCTATGTCACTATTACAAAATTAACAAGAATGTAATGTTATGTTACTATTACAAAATTAACAAGAATGTAATGTTATGTTACTATTACAACATTGACAAGAATGTAATGTTATGTTACTACTTCAACATTAACAAGAATGTAATGTTATGTTACTACTTCAACATTAACAAGAATGTAATGTTATGTTACTATTACAACATTGACAAGAATGTAATGTTATGTTACTACTTCAACATTGTAATGTTATGTTACTACTTCAAAATTAACAAGAATGTAATGTTATGTTACTACTTCAAAATTAACAAGAATGTAATGTTATGTTACTACTTCAAAATTAACAAGAATGTAATGTTATGTTACTACTTCAAAATTAACAAGAATGTAATGTTATGTTACTACTTCAACATTAACAAGAATTTAATGTTATGTTACTATTACAAAATTAACAAGAATGTAATGTTATGTTACTATTACAACATTGACAAGAATGTAATGTTATGTTACTACTTCAACATTAACAAGAATGTAATGTTATGTTACTACTTCAAATGGAATTCAGTTTGTTTTGTTTTTTTACTGTCAAAAAATAACTTTACTCATTACTGTACGGAAAGTTACTCAAATAGTCACACTTTATTATTCTAATATTTGTCTGCATCGAATGCAAGTTCCATAGTGTTTTCAAGATCCTGTGTGAGCTAAGAGAAACGTAGCTTACAACTTGGAAGTTCCATAGTGTTTTCAAGATCCTGTGTGAGCTAAGAGAAACGTAGCTTACAACTTGGAAGTTCCATAGTGTTTTCAAGATCCTGTGTGAGCTAAGAGAAACGTAGCTTACAACTTGGTATTCTTTTTCCTAGCCAAAATATAGTGATTGTGAGGATGAAATACTTTAAGAGTAATGGATTTCATTCAATTATCTTTGTTTTGACAACTATAAATGATAACTATGTATCAATCACAACTACTCAACAATTGTAACACAAGCTAACATGTAGAATGGAACATGTACATAACATCAAATATTAAATCTCTATTTAAAATTATACTTCAAATTAATTTAAATGTTTCATCAAGTTAACAGATAAATGTAACAGAAATTTTTCTCAAATAATGTAGTTGCAATCATATAAATCATTTTACAAATCAAGTTTCTCTTAGTGTATTACACATTTTCTGCTCAAGTCGAAAATATTGCAAGACAGCTACAGAAGTAAAATAAAATCCTTCCCTTTCCTCAACCAAAATTTTCTTTGAATGATGTAGACTGTCTGTAAAGCAAGCAATCTGACAGTAGAATATTTAAGTGCAATATTGAAGCCAACTTCTTCGAAAAATAAAACTGTTTAAAAAACTTCAACATCATCTACTAACCAAACAAAAAACCACATTGTAACATCAAACAATTTCACATTCTTACCACTAAACTTCAAGATTTCCTACCATCAGAAGAAAATTTCAACGTAATCTGCTAACCATGTAAAAATTATGTGGTAACATCAAAAAACTTTGTCATGATATAAAAGACTGTTTGGTTTAGATATGAGTGATTAATACATTTTTGTTAGTGAATATTTTATTATTGTTTAGTTTTAGCTAGTTAGGCTTGGCAACTGAAATTCTAAAGTAATTGAACAGGCCTAAGTGGATATTTGACAAGAAGGAGAGTACTACATATATAGTATTTATGATATACCCATAATATCTATAGTATTGAAGAATTTATTGCATATATGTTAACTTGTTCTGAATACATATATTATTTTGAAAACAAGTGAAGTGCGTGCTGTTTATTCATCATTGAATTTATTGCTAACAAGTCATAGACACCTACTGCAGAAGAATCCTAAGCCCAACAACAATATAGTATATATATTTATACTGTTACGACAGCGGAAGTCACGTGACGCTAGTAACACGTCATGAGATTCTAAAAGGATCATGTCTGTTCCTGGCAACTCTTGTCTTCTCCACGCGCCCTCTAGTTTTGTATATATAAGCCAGCAAATGAAGTGATGGGATAGAATTGTAGACAGGCAGAGACAGAGACGGACAATTGAGTCAAGCGCGGTAGTGACTGTAAGTAAAATGCATGAATCGTTGTGAATTATAGCATGTGTTTAGGTTAAAGTGACTGTGGAAATTAAGTGTATTGCAAAGTTGAGTTGAGAAAGAATAAACTAGTTTTATTTAAGAAAGGACTTGTATCGCTGAAGCTTCTCGGAAAGAATTTCTAAGGAATTAACAAACAAACAACCAGAGATGTAACAATACTATTAAAAAATATAAGTAAAAGCCTTTTTATTTTAACAGTTGGCAAAAAGGAAAGTTATACATTTATTTTTTATTTCAAATTCTGACAAACTTCATGTTGTTACCACTAAACTTTATATAGATTTCCTACCACCAGTAGAAAACTTTAATATAATCTGCTAACCATATAAAAAAAAAAATCTCACAGTAATATATAAAAACTTAACATTCTTACCATTAAACTTCAAGATTTCCTATTGCCAGTAGAAAACTTCAACATAATCTGCTAACTACGTAAAAAAATCAATCAGTAACATAAACAACCCCATTTAATTCCAACTAAACATTTGTGTAATTTTTTCTAAGTGTAGCTTAAACTGATAATCTTACATGCCTTGTTGTTGATGAAGATTCTTATGCTTCTAGACATGTTGCTTCTCAGTTCATTCAATAACTTGGTGACATGATCGAGACTAGTATTCCTGAGCAAACAGTAACACCAGAGAAGTTGGAAACTACTGAGAAAGTAAAAAATCGTAATAGTGTGAAAATAGCTTACATTATGAGTGTAATCAACGTTGTGAGAATTACTTTCCTGGGCTCCAAGAAACATAGAAGTAAAAACCAACATGTACAGTATTTATTGGGTCTTACAGGCTTGCGTTGAGTGATACAAGGACATAAAGAAATTCAAGAAGAGAATAGAAACCAACATGTATGGTATATATCAGGTCATACAGGATTGTGTTGAGTGGTACAAGGACATAAAGAAATTCAAGAAGTGAATAGAAACCAACATGTATGGTATATATTAGGTCATACAGGCTTGTGTTGAGTGATAAAAGGTATGATTCAATTTATCTCCTGTAAGTAGTGATTTTAAAAACCACTGCCAAATGAGAAACTGTTCATTTCTGAAAGTTCTTTCAGTAAAATTATAACTTATATGACCCCTTCATTTCTTATAAGCTCTGAATAAACTACCGGCATGGTGATTCTAGCCCGTCTCTGTCGAGGGACTTGCTTTGGGCCATTCTGATTTTCATTGAATCGAGGATTAGTTCGATAGCACTCCATGATCACCTTCAGTCGAGGCTCCACGTCTCCTAATAAAGGACGATTTTTTGGGTCCATAGCCCAACATTCGGACATCAGCTTCCAACAGTCTTCACTAAATTGTGGCAACTTTTCTGGACGTCCACCTGAAACAGTAGATTACTATCAACATTAATAAATAAACTACTGTATTAAAACTTTATTAAATATAATAACAACCTTGTAGTGGTGCCTCATTACTGGACACTAAAGTTAAATGTTAGAATGTGAGAGCATAATTTAATACAGAAGTTACTACATGTATGTAAGATCCAACAGAAGCATTACTGCATCTATGTAAGATCTGATGGAGGAGTTACTACATGTATGTAACATTAAACAAAGGAATTGCTACATGTATTTAAAATGCAACACAGAAGTTGCTACATTTATGTAAGATCAAACAGGAGCATTATAACATGTACACAAGATCTGATGGAGGAGTAGGTACATGTATATAAGATCCAACAGAGGAGTTACTACATCTAAGCAAGATCTCATGGAAGAGTTACTACATGTATGTAAAATCCAACAGAAGCATTATTACATGTATGTTAAATCTGAAGACATTACACAAGTATTACTACATTACCTCTCATAACAGAGTGAAAAAGTTGGTCCTTGGTTTGACACTGTTCAAAAATGTGTGGCATTTTGACGTCACCAGCACATAAGTACCAGAAGAGAATTCCAAAGGCATAAACATCCACGCTACTATCATAGTGTCCAGTAAACAGTTCTGGAGCCATGTGGATCGGTGTTCCAACAATACTGCCTGACATCATTGCTTTAGGTTTACAGAAGCCTAAGTCTGTTAGTTTTGCTCTGTTTGAAGCATCCAGCTAAAATATATGATGTTATAAATCAATTTTAAAAAAGTTTATTTTCACAGATTTTAAAAATACACACACACACATATATATATATATATATATTCTCAATCAAAGCTATTTATTGATTATTCCTTGAAATTCAATTTTAAAGGATTATTTAGTTGACAAGATACACTGTAAATGTTTTGAAACAGTGTTAAATTTATAACTAATGAAGATCAGTGTCAACCAAGAGCTGTAATAAATCACTTTAAAGGACATTCTTTATGATTTAAGTCAACATCAGGACAAAGAGCAACCTAAATTACTAGACAAACTAGGACAGATAAAAAAGTATGAGAAATACAGATTGTTATTATTCTGAATAATAGGTTTTAATTAATAAGAAAATAAACTTCACCAAGCTGTAGAATTTTAAATTTTCACAGTTCATCAATATCTATATTCCCAGTGACTTATTACAGTTCAAACATTTCTAGCATCTAGTATGTAAAGATTATTGTTCCAGTTGTGTTCATGGTTTAGTACAGTAGATGTTAGTGTATAAAGATTATTGTTCCAGTTGTGTTCATAGTTTAGTATAGTAGATGTTAGTATGTAAAGATTCTTGTTCCAGTTGTGTACATGGTTTAGTACAGTAGATGTTAGTGTATAAAGATTCTTGTTCTATTGGTGTATGTGGTTTAGTACAGTAGATGTTAGTGTGTAAAGATTATTGTTCCAGTTGTGTACATGGTTTAGTACAGTAGATGTTAGTATGTAAAGATTATTGTTCCAGTTGTGTTCATGGTTTAGTACAGTAGATGTTAGTGTATAAAGATTTTTGTTCCAGTTGTGTACATGGTTTAGTATAGTAGATGTTAATGTGTACAAATTATTGTTCCAGTTGAGTTCATGGTTTAATATAGTAACATCTACTGTACTAAACCATGTACACAACTGGAACAATAATCTTTACACACTAACATCTACTGTACTAAACCATGTACACAACTGGAACAATAATCTTTACACACTAACATCTACTATACTAAACCATGGACACAACTGGAACAACAATCTTTATACACTAACATCTACTGTACTAAACTATGAACACAACTGGAACAAAAATCTTTATACACTAATATCTACTGTACTAAACCATGTACACAACTGGAACAATAATCTTTACACACTAACATCTACTGTACTAAACCATGTACACAACTGGAACAAGAATCTTTATACACTAACATCTACTGTACTAAACCATGTACACAACTGGAACAATAATCTTTACATACTAACATATATTGTACTAAACCATGTACACAACTGGAACAATAATCTTTACACACTAACATCTACTGTACTAAACCATGTACACAACTGGAACAAGAATCTTTATACACTAACATCTACTGTACTAAACCATGTACACAACTGGAACAAGAATCTTTATATGCTAACATCTATTGTACTAAACCATATACACCAATAGAACAAGAATCTTTATACACTAACATCTACTGTACTAAACCATGTACAC